ACCTCCACCATACTGTGGGTTTTTGTTTAGAAATGATATTTGTTTCAAAATCTTCCATAAATATATCGGCTAAGAATGAAGATAAACTAGAGCCCATTGCTAGACCAAAATTTTGTTTATAGAATTCATTATTTAGTTGAAAATATGTATTATCAGTACATAATGTTAATAACTCCATTATAGCCGATATGTTTAGTCTTGTTCTAGTTGCCAATGAATCATCACTCTCTAATTTTGTCTTGACTATACTTAAAGTCTTATTTAATGGCACATTCGTAAATAAAATATTTATGTCAAAACTTACCAAAGTATTATTTGAATTAAATTTAATATTTGATAATTTATTTAAAAAATGTTGTGTATTTTTTATAAATGTGTCATTTTTATTTGTAAATGGTTTTAAAATATTTAATAAAAATTTTTATAGTTCACTACAAGGAGAATTCATGGTACTACAAATGGGTCTAAGTGGTATATTCGTTTTATGAATTTTCGGTACTCCATAAAAATGAGGAGTCTTACTGTAATGAGGTGTAATTAATCCTCTCTGATAACTTGTTAAAACATCTTTAAACTTGAATAAAGTTCTACATATTTTGTTTTCGAAAGGCTTTGTTAGATCTTTTGTTAATTTTGTATAAGGTCCGTTTATTAATAGATCTTTAATTTTATTTTCGTATTGAATTTTATCCATTATCACAGTTGCATTCCCCTTGTCTGCTGGTAGGATGATTATGTAGTCGTCATTTTTTAAAGTTCTTTTAGCCTTTAGTTCCTCTTTGCTTATGTTTTATTCAATTTTAGTAGATTTTTCCAATTCAAGTTTACATAACACTCTGTATTCTTCCTTTTCGTGGGTTGATAAGCATTGAGATATTTTCTCCACTGAGCTTATTATGTCTAATTTTGGAACGGATGGCTGAGAAATAGCAAAATTTAGACCCTTTGACAGTATTAAATTCTCCGTTGCACTTAAATGTCTATTTGATAGATTGACAACAGTCGCTAATATGTCATCATTTCTATTGAGGTTATCTAAAGTGTGTATACTGTTTTGTTCTTAAAGAATATTAAATTTATTTAAATGTATATTTCTTTGTTTTCTATATGAATTTTCATATACTATATGTAAACTAAAAATAATCTGATCAAAATCAGAATTTGATATCACATTGAAAAGCAAATCTTCAATACTTACAATATCTTGTTTAACAAAAATTATATTCGATCTATGATATTGTAATCTTTCTCGGATCATGGACAAACTGGCTCTATCTAGAATGTTTTCCAACCTTCTGCTTGAATATGCTGGACGTAACTTCAAGCCCTTTGGTATTAGGTTGTTATCTCTACATCTTCGTAAAAATTATTCAAAAGGAATTATTCAAAAGATTTACTCAAGCATAAATATCCAAAGAAATGTTTATTAAAACTTTCTTCTTAGTTCAGAATTTTATCAACAAATACATCAGATTTTCAGTTCCTTCACAATTTCAATTTCTTCTAGAAATGTTAGACAGTGTAAAAAATACAAAGTTTCTTCTCCTATATTTGTGAAAATAAGAGGACCAAGAAAGAAGACGCGAAGAATGTGGAAAATCGTGAAGTATATTAATCAGGTGAAGACAGCCATTATCAGCGTAATGCTGTAGAATTCATAATCTCAATGGAGGCTAGCAAATGTGAATGCGGTAAAGAAAGGAAAAACAGAAATATAAATGTAATACAAGTGTATACACCGACAGCGGAAAGTAAACTAGAAGCAGATATAGAAACTGTTACTGACCAACTCAAGAATAGAGATCTCACCATTCTGATGGATGAGCTTAATGCAAAGATAGGAAAAGGTAGACAAGTTACCTTAATTAAATTTTTGGCTTATAGAAGCGGATAAAGGCTGTGGTTTTGGAGTTTTTAAAATCAATTTTGTGACCTGTATGAAGATGGTCTTAACCTAGACCTGAAATTGAATCGGAATTGACAGAAATAAAACGTTCATAAATCCCATTCTTGATTCTGCGATTTGGTTCGCCTATATAGAATCGGGAGCAGTTTGCACAACAAATTTTATAAATTCCTTGTGGTTTATTTGAAATGTTGTCTTTGATTGATCGGAGAAGAGACAAAATGTTTTGGTGGTTGGTAAATATTGTCATTATTTCTCTTTATTTGAGAATTTTTTCGATTCTGAGATCTCGGAAGTCTTGAAGAGGACATCAAAGAGAATGTCCAAAGCTCGGCGCAATGATAATCGACGCAGTTTAACTCTAAAGATTGTTGGGTTTAATAATAATAATGCTTATAATAGTATTAATTTTAGCTCTAGGTTTAATTGTACTAACCGCGGAAATCTGTCGGAACATTTTATTCACCTGTACGGGAAGGAATTTTAACAGCTTTCTAAATCATATAGCAATCTGCTAATACGTGAGAATAGAGAATTAAGTCATTCTCAAATTTCTAAAACTCAAACAGCATACGTCTTCTTCTATCTCTCAAATTCTTACAAAGGCCAATTTTACACTTCTTCGTGAAGTTCTTTAGTCCACTAGATGAAAACTAGATGTAACAAATATCAATACTTTTAATATCTAGTCTACTAATCATTCTTTTAATGTACATTCTATATTATGGGACAGTTTCAACCATATTAATACACAGACAGCTCTAAACACTTTCGAAACTAAGACTGAAATTTAAAGCGCAAATTAGCGCATCTAATTGCCGAACAAATTTCAAAACTACAACGTTGAAACCCACTACAGTGGTTCATAACTTTTCTGATATCCCTATTTATATCATTGTTGCTCAAGTTTTAGCACAAGGTTTCAATTATTCTGATACCCTAAGTCACAGTCCAATTGAGACAATTATCTATCAAACTGAACAAGCTACCTCCAGTTTACCTTTCGAAAATGCTGAATTCACTAGAAAAAACATCGCTAGAACTCTTAGAAACTCAAAGCCTCCTACCCTGAACATTAGCCAATCCGAGAAAAAAGGTCTGAAAGAATTTCACTCAAATCCAAATCTAGTCATTTTTTTCCGGAGATAGAGGCAATGCCACCGTCATCCTAAACACTTTTTCTTACATTAATAAACTCTTAAACCGCATTATTATTTCAAACTACAGACCAATTCCTTATAATTTAACAACCTATCTGGAGAAAACAACAAAGGACATTATCAATAAAACCTCTCTTTCTGTTGACAAAACAATCTCTAATTCTTCGTGAAAAGTCTTCCAGAATACCTCGAATATATGACCCATCCAAAATTTAAAAACTCGATTTTCCTCTATGTCCATTGTCAGTGCATACAACTGCCCTACACAACCATTTGCAAAGTACTTATCTAAAACTGTACAACCTCACGCTTAACTCACATTTCACTTTTTACTAAACATTCAGTATACTCAAATGCAGTATCCAGCAAGAGCATTTATCTCTTGTTAAACCTTGTATGTCCAACACTTATTTTATATTCCAAAACGAATTCTATAGACAAATGAGTGGTGCTCCAATGGGTTCCTCACTATCTACAGTAATTGCCAATATCTTTATGGAAAACTTCAAGATCCGACCACTATCCACATTAATAAGTAATCCAACTGCGATACGTTGACTAATCATTGGCCATTTGGCGCTATGGCATAAATGCTTTGGTGTCTTTTTAAACCCATCTGAATAATATACATACTAATATTAGGTTCACAATGGAAGTGGAAACTGATTCATGCCTACCGTTTCTCGACGTTATCGTAAAAAAACAATCCCAAGGTTTTTATCACTCCGTATATCTGCTACTAAATCAAACAAAGACTATTATATTCTTATCGTGCATTAATGGATTCTCTGAACAATTGTAGAAAATGTTGACAAAATATGATATTAATTCAGAGATCATCGGTCGGATATTCTTTGTACAATAAATTGTAAAGACTGCAATTTAACATATGTTGGGCAAATACACCAATATCTGCTTAGAAGGGTTGTTGCACACAAACATAGGGTATAAACAAACTAATTAAACACAACAGCCTTAGCCAAACATGCTATAGAAAGTAGCCATTCTTTTAATTTTGAAAATAAATATATTTTGGAAAAAGAACAAAACTAAAACAGAAGATGCATATTAAAGATGATTCACATATAAAAGATCAAATTCTATCAATAACAGGACCACAGATACCACTTTTATATTCTCAGAATATCTTAGAATATAAAAATTAGAATTTGGTGTTTATTTGGTGAGAGTAAATTAAATGTAATACCAAATACTTACCATGTTGGGATACTATTATGAGGTTTTTATCCTGGTTTTTTCCTCATGATTTACTATGGAATTACTAACAGGAGAATTTTACTGTCATCATGGCATGTAGTTCTGTTTTTAAAGACGAATAACATGCTATGATTTTTTTCTGACGGATATTCTGTGCATATTAAAGTTGATTTCATGTAACCATGATTTCATGTAATCGAATATACTGTAATGAATAACTAAACATATACATGTAATTTATATATTATAATCAAGTCATCCCATGAACGCAACTCTATATGAACGCAATATTGGCAATATCGTTTTAAAGTCGTCTACTTTAAAATAAATAATGTATGTCTGAATTGACAATACAAATTAGTCAAATAAAATTAAATTAGTAGAAGAATTTTTCACCAAGTAAAAAAAATTTGTTTAATTTATTAATGTTTGTATTTTGAGAAAGATTTCCGTGGAAATCTTTCCTGTAGTGGAAATTGAAATGTCGTAGACATGTCGTAATCGTAAAGAAAATTTATCGTAATTTTCAATTGTGGCTTATTTCCATTAAAATAGTATTTATTTGAAAGTTGGAATTATGGTTGCTGAAACAAAATATTTGTACGCAATTATCTATATTATAGATAGACATGATTTGCCTAAACTTCACATAAACATACACAAATTATTTAACAATTTTAATTATAATTAACATTCCTTTAATTTATTGGTTTTAGAATTCTTGCATTCAACGTAATTGTGCCTTTGATACAATAGAACCAAAGTGCTCCAACAAAAGAATAACATGTTTAGATAATAAGAGATACAGATTTTGTTTTCGTACCAGTAAGTCAGTTATAGAGTATGGGAACATAAAATATTGTCCAAAATCTACGACGTGCTGCGAAGATACAGGAACATCACCGTAAGTGTTTTGATGCAATATTTTTAGCACTACTTAGATTCTAAGGGAAACTATTGGGAATGCCTAAAACAGTAAGGTAGCAGATTAGATAAATATAAAATACTGGTTAATCGTAGGAATAGGTGCAGTGTTTATTTTCTCTTCAGGTTCTAGGACGTTATCTGTCACAGACTAGACCAATTATTGCTTCATCCAAGAAAAGCAGATGAAGTTGTGCTAGAGGCTTTATATTAGGTAAACCATTTTCTTCCAAATTATATGCTTCGAGTTACCGTGCTGTGGAGTTGCTTTGGTCGCGACAATTTGATAGTATAATATGTCTAGAGGTGTGATCACTTACCTCACACAATTTGCATTTTGAACTACTACATGTATGTGATTTACTACATTTAATCTTTTATCAGTCCGCAATGACCGGTGAATATTCCTGTGAAAATACGTAGTACTTTTGTTTAAACTATTCAAATCTTAAAATCATCTATGGTTATCTTGTTCTTAAAGTATCCTCTCTTTAATTAAGGTTAGCTACTACAATTACAAACTCCTTTCTATCTTCAGCTGATGTTATTAGCTGTTCAAAATTTAGCTCTACCCTGTATCTCTTTCCCTTTTACGATATTTCCTTTCACTATTGATTAAGCGTATTGGTACTTATTTCTTTGTATATGGACTAGGTATAAGATATTTACTTACTTTCTCTACGTTGAAAAGTTCTTGCTCCTTGCCTGTTCTACGCAGTACTTTTTCGTTTAGGATGTGCTATGTCGATGAATTCTTTAGGATCCTCCGGTAGATCCACATTTCAAAAGCCTCCTTTTATTTACTGTTGATGTTTTAAATTTCGAGATTAATTCGAGAATCAAACCGAATCTTGTAATTATTTCGAAATATTTTCTGGTCTATTCTATTCTTGATCTTATTTCTAGATTAGGATTTAAACTACAATCGATTTAACTTCCCGGGTACTTGAACTTATTGATCTGTTCTAAAATGTGCTCTCGATTGTGCAAGGATAAGGTATATTTTTATTTTTAATTTATATCACTTTGGTTTTCTTAATGTTTATTTTAATACCGAGTTACTCATATAGCGAGTTGGTCCTGTTGATGAATCGTTGTAAACCCAAGTCGGACCCATGGTTTCCTTAAAGTATTTTTGATTTTCTCGTTCCATTTAAGTCTCTCCAATATTAAGATATTTTACGATATACTGTTTTTTTGTTTTCTTTCAGAAAACTCAGGTTCTCTAAAAGATGTTTTATTTTTTTTTTCTAATTCATCGGCAATTTCGTTTGCCTGTACTCTAATATTTTTCGAAATATATAAACAACTAACTGAATTTTCTTTGCTTACTTCATTATTTTCTAAAGCATTTCTGTGCCACTTTGAACTTAATCACATATTATTGCAGTGTTTTATTGACTGTTTTAGTAGGTATTGAATATTAAAAAAATCTCTTGTCCGTAAGATTTTTTGTCTAAATTTCAGTGAGTGCAGTTTTCAAAAATTTTCTAAGGAGTAAACGAAATTTTATGCGGATATTTGAACAGGAGGAATTCTTTTGATTATTCATCTTTGTTGTCCGTATCTTTTAAAAGTTGATAAGAAATGCGAGAGGAAAGTACAGTTAAAGTTGCTGAGGCAAGACACTCAACCTATGGCTAAATGATTGAAAATGGACCAGAATCCATTTTGGGAATTTCAAACATATACCCGTTAAAAGTGCCAATTGCTTTAATCGTATATTTAGTTAAGGTACGTTTAACGCCGTTCTAGATCTTAAATTATCAGCATGCAGTGTACTTCTTGTTATACTTTAAAATATTGATCTACGGTATGTTTAGAGCGTAAGCGCAAAATTTCGGACCCATGATTTTTAACGCATTCTTTTTTTTTTTTCGAATTCTGATAAAACTAATAAATATTTTTTTAAATTTAAACGCACAATAAAAAACTACATTGTTATCTAGTGCTGCAAGTTTCTTAGAATAAACAAAAAGTTTCATTTGAATGAGATATTTGAAATTAAAAATCACACTTAATTTTATCTTCTTTTTCACCTCTGTAACTTACTAAAATGAACATTATAGACGTTTTCAGGGACTTTCCGCCCTCGGCAATAATGTAATCTTTCATTCTGCGTTTAAATTTTTTAAAGATACTGATTAGTTTTCTCAGAATTCGAAAAAAATAAGTGCATTTAAAAAGCATTGGCCCGAAAGTTTGCGCCTACGCTCTTAGAACCATGAGTTATTATAAACACTAATTGATTTTTACTACGATCTATTTCGTCTACAGATACAATTAACTAAATAATATTGTCTCTTTTTTTTTATTGTTTAAAAGTCCAATTAGACACCACTTGTTATGTAAATTCATATGTAAATTCATAATTAAGATAAATTTGCAATAACCCAATGTATGGGGCATACATATAGGACATAACCCCTAATTATGTGTGCCCTTATCTATATCTTAATATATTTTATGTCATTTGATTCTTATTTTAATCATCAAGTATGTGACTTCAATAATTGTGAATATTATTAATATGACTAAAATTTTTGTTTATAGCTATCAAAATTGAAGAAGTCAACAAGAAAAGTCTTTCGATCAACACTGTATGAAATAAAAATATAAAATAAAACATACATAATATACATATATAAAAAAATAAAAAAAATAACTAGAAATATAATAAAAAAAGAAAAATTAAAATATTTTTATTTTTTAGGTGTATTAAACAAGACAATAATGAGACGAATGTAACGTTCCAAATGATAACTCCAGGTATAACACATTTTTATAAAAATTTTAAAATATAATTGAAGGGTTAAGGGAAATAAGAAGGAATATCACGTATATTCATATTGTTTTCAGAAAATAGGAAGTTTAATGTTTGTTGCTACATATCTTTAAACCGTTGCATTAATAGTATTTTACTTTATGAGGCGGAGAAGCATGACTTTTCTTGACGCGCCGAACGAAGTGAGGCGCGTAATAGAGGGCAAGTCAAGAAAAGTCGCTTCTTTGCCGAATAAAGTATACTATTTTTTCTTCAAACGTAGCAATTTTAAACCATAAATAGTACAATTCATACGCCATTTTTACTCGAAATTAACTGTGACAACTATCAAAGTCGTCTAGATGTTAGAAATTAAAATAATTAAGTCGTCGGTGGGATTTGCGTCTCCCTGGTTACAGTTGTTTGACAGTTGTTTGCAATTATTAAAGACAGCTTTTTGTTGTTGCAACCGCAAGCGCAAATTTAGTGCGAAAATGGAAAATCTAAACGAAATTGAGTCCGCGGCTAATGATGCAGTAGCACGTTTGGGGCCCTCCAAGTCCGGAATAAAGTATCGGTTAGCGTACGAGCACTTCCATGAGTGGTGCGATACAAGAGGAGTACAGCAAGTTACCGAAGACGTTTTACTGGCATATCTTAATATAATGGAAAATGAAAATAAATGGAAATCTTCTACAATGTGGTCATGATACTCTATGATAAAATCCGAGTTAGTTATTAGAAAAAATGTGGATATAAGCAAATTTTTAAAGTTACGTACCTTTCTGAAAAAAACAAGAGAAGGATATACTGCAAAGAAGTCTAAAGTTTTCACTAAAGACGAGTTTGATAAATTTTTGTTTGAAGCGCCAGATAAGTTGTATTTAGGATTAAAGGTAAAAAAAATTATATTGCAAAGCATGTAGTATACTCTACTAAATTATAAAAATATTTCAGATTGTTTTGTTAATTGGGGTTACCAGCGCCTGTCGATGCGACGAAATGGTAAAAATGAAGACTGTTGACATTGAGGATAAAGAAAATGTAATAATTATCAAAATCCCAGACAGTAAAACACAACAAATTAAATATTTTACGATAATTGGTCAAAACTACATTAAACTGTATAAAAGTATGCATAAGTGCGGCCTGAAAATTTCACAGAAAACCGATTTTTTATCAAGTACCAAAATGGAAAGTGTTACCGAAGCGTCATGGGAATACATTCGATCAGCGCAGTAGCCCAAAAAGTAGCTAGTTATTTAAATTTAAACGATGCAAGCGCATACGCGGGTCACCCTTTACGACGAACTTCAGCAACACTTTTAATTGATGGAGGCGGAAATCTAGAATGCCTCAAACGACATGGGGGCTGAAGATCAAGCACGGTTACCGAAGGATATATAGAGGATTCAATAAGAAATAAGAACGATAATGCTCAAAAAATTTTAAACCCTCATGATTCGCCAACATCGGGAATGATTGCTGAAAGTTATTCTCATTTTTGCACGGTTTCAATTTTGAAAATGCGTCAATAACTAATTGTACTTTTAATATCACTATAAATAAAAATGATGTTTAATTGTTGTTAATGACATTTGTATTGTTGCTTTGTGACATGTTTCATATTGTTGCCATGACAACATTTTTCCCTCCGCCGTAAAGAAATGGGAAAAAAAACTGCTGCCAGCGGAGACATCAAACTTTGACAGGATCAAGTTAGATAAGTAATGTCATCATTATTTGACGTTTGAAGAAAATAGTTATTTATTGTACAAGACGATAAAATTGTACTTTATTTTCGAGAGCGTTTTTTAGCGTCAAGACGTCAGTCAAGACGTCTATATTCATCCACCTTCTCGAATTCTACAACTGATCCATCCTTCACCTCCAATTTAAAGGATCCCCTGGCGTTTATTTCTTTTTTTCTCGAGATCTCCATGTACTTCGATTTATTATTACTAACTTTTAATCCCATTTTAGAGCTTTCCCAAATCAGTCTTTTTGTTATATTTGATAGTTCTTTTCCATTTCTTGCCATGACAACATTTTTCCCTCCGCCGTAAAGAAATGGGAAAAAAACTGCTGCCAACGGAGACATCAAACTTTGACAGGATCAAGTTAGATAAGTAATGTCATCATTATTTGACGTTTAAAGAAAATAGTTATTTATTGTACAAGACGATAAAATTGTACTTTATCTTCGAGAGCGTTTTTTAGCGTCGAGACGTCAGTCAAGACGTCTATATTCATCCACCTTCTCGAATTCTACAACTGATCCATCCTTCACCTCCAATTTAAAGGATCCCCTGGTGTTTATTCATTTTTTGCTCGAGATCTCCATGTACTTCGATTTATTATTACTAACTTTCAGTCCCATTTTAGAGCTTTTCCAAATCAGTCTTTTTGGTATATTTGATAGTTCTTTTCCATTTCTTGCAATAAAAATAAGCATTGGTGTTCCTTGTATAAAATAGTTCCGGACCTATTTATCCCACTAACGCATACATTTTTTTCTAGAACTATATTGAATAGCAATGTAGACAAAGGATCTCCTTGGCGAACACCTTTTATCACTTCAAATTCTTCCGAGACTGTACCGTTGCATCTCACAGCACAAATGGTTTATCTAATTGTCATTTTTACCAATCTTATGATTTTTTCTGGCACTTGGAATTCTTTTAGTGTTTCTATTAACTTGTTTCTGTCTATTGTATCGTAGGCAGCTTTGTAATAAATGAAACAGTACTTGTGCTGAAATGTTGTATTCATAGCAATTGATCAGAATATGTTTTAGCATAAAAATTTAATCGGTTATTGATCTTCCTTTCCAAAATCCTCCTGGTATTCTCCTAGATTGTTCTCTCTCTATATCTCTCTCTTTCTCTCTCTCTATCTCTCTCTCTCTCTCTCTCTCTCTCTCTCTCTCTATATATATATATATATATATATATATATATATATATATATATATATATATATATATATATATATTTCTAATCGTTTTTAATTAGTATATCGAGTACTTTATAAATTACCTCTAATAAGGATATTCCTCTATAGCTGCGCATTCAGTTCTATCTCCCTTTTTGTGTATAGGAATTATAATCGACTTATTCCATTCTTGAGGCATTTCTTCGGCATCCCATACTTCTAGTATTAGCTCACCAAGTGTGTGTATTAAGGCCTCTCCTCCATATTTTGTGTTCTCTGCCACAATGCCGCTCTCCCCGGGGCTTTTTTGATTTTTCATATCTTTTATTATTTCTTCAATTTCTTCTCTTGTAGGCTCTGGTATTTCTTCTATTACTATTTCAGGTTTAGGAACAATTTTCTTCAGTAGTCACTTCTTCATTTAGCATCTCTTCGAAATATTCTTTCCACCTTTCACATATTTGGTCTTCGTCCACTATCAGGTTTCCTTTGCTTATCTTTACATTTATCTTTCTTCCCTGGTACCCAGTTTTGATGTATTTTACTTTTGTATAACAATTTTTTATTTCACTTATCTTGTAATTTTCTTTAATGCTCTTAATTTTATCATCCATATACTTTCGTTTCCGCTCCCTTAGGATTCTCTTTACTTTTTTTCGTTGTTCGGCATACCTTTCTAGGTCGTCTTGTTTTTGCAATCGTAAACTTTTTAATCTCAAATCTGATCTCATTTTTAACTCTATTTTGCAATCTTCATTGAACCAGTGGTTTTTTCTAAATCTTTTTGTTCTTGGTATGTTGTTCGACGTAGCTTCCTTTATAGTGTTTGTCATTTTGAAGGACTTTTGTTGTATGTTACTCACAGTAGTACTATCTTGTTTGGCGTAGGTTTCTTGTAGATCCATTTAGTAATCCTGCGCTACCTCAAATTTTCGCAATTTTTTAAAGTTAAATTTACGTTGCACTTTCTTTTTCTCTTTATGTTTTTTAATTATTGCTTCTCTCATATTAATTTTAACCAAAAAATGATCTGAGTCTACGTCAGCTCTTCTGCACGTTTTCACATTTGTGATTAAATTGGCAAACTTATCTTGTATTAAGATGTGGTCTATTTGATTAGTTCCATTTGTTCCCGGAATTTTCCACATTCCTTTGTATATTTTTCCTCCTGAAATGGGTACTCATTATCTTCATCATGTTTTCAATTGCGAATGTTATTAATCTTTGTCCGTTATCATTTGTATTCAAATGTTTACTTTCACCCCCTGTTATGTTTTCATATATATCTTCTCTTCCGACCTTTGCATTGGCGTCGCCTATAATAATTTCAGTATCTTGTCTGGGCATTTCTTTACACAACGACTCTAATTCCTAATAAAATTCGTTTTTTACTTCTTCTTCTTTTTCTTCTGTTGGAGCATGTATATTTATCAACGATATCATATTCTTTTTTCCTTTAATTCTAATTGCACACATTCTATCACATTATACTACGCATCGTTTTACCTGCTCCACGTCTTCATGTACCAGAAAACCTATTCCAAAATTCCTATTATCGTCTCCACTTGTATAAAACGTGTATGAGCTAATCTTTTTAATGTTGTTTCCAGTTAAATGTGTTTCTTGTACTACTAAGATATTTTTTTAATTCTTCTATAAGGTTAATTAATGCTCCCTCCTCGTATACTCCTCGTACATTCCATGTAGCAATATTTAGGTACATATTCTTATGGTATTTATGTTCAAACTCAATTTCCTGTTCATCGCTAGGATCCGTTGGCATAATGTGTCATCTTTTCCTTTTTCCACTACTATATGCCGTTTTTTGGGACTATATTTCTGGAATTTTCTTGTTTGAAAGTACCTTTTCCGGTCCATACCCATTTTATACCATCCACAGTTAGTTTTTGTACCATATCTTCACATGTCTACCTTCAGCTCTTAATTCCTTGCCTTTATTTACGATTTCCTGCCTCATGTGTCTTTCTTTTTCGGTCAGGTCATCGTTGATGAAGATCTTTTCTGCAGTAAGAAATCTGATTTTGCTTTTTTCTTTCATTACCTTAATTTT